GGCACTATATGACCCTTAGGAGTTTAGAGCTTCCCAGTGATATTAAAAATGAGATATTAATAAACCAACCATAATTGGTGAACATTATTAATAACTGGTGAAGATTTCGTATGGTCAGTTTCCTCAAGGCAGGTGTCAAGATGCCGGTGAGGGGGCTCTTCATCCAAGGAAGTTGGCCTATCCCCCATTGACTGAACCCGATAAAAAGAAAATGTAATATCCATTTACAAAGCATGAGGTAGGTCCTTAGCTACAAATTATAGACTAATCAACTTAATCTCAATTGTGGGAAAGTTGATGGAATCATTAATTGGTTATGTAACTTGAAAGATACAAATATTTTTATCTGCTGTATACAGGTATATAGTTTACATGTAATAAAATATTGTAGGCACACAATAAAGCCATTAGCATGTGCAATACACAACTCGCACATGAGATAGAGCTTACGACGACATTTCGGTCTGACTTGGACCATTTACAAAGTCACACAAGCAGAAAAGAGTGAAGTAGTCAGTACAGGTGACCTGGAGCTCGGTCACTAGACCACTCAGCTCGCACACTGAGGTCCGAGGATCGATTCCCAGGTACGGTTGAAAACCATTAGGACGTGTTTTTATAAGGTACTTGCTGTCACTGTTCACCCATCAATAAAATGGGTACCTGAGTATTAGTCGACTGGTATGGGTCGTATCCTGGGACAAAATTGACCTAATAATAATAATAATAATAATTTTATTTCTACAAGTACATGTACAAGGTTGATGGATGTGATAGTGGCATTGTTGTGGTCCTTGAAAGTGAGGTCTTCGGACATTACCACACCCAGGTCCTTCACATTACTTTTCCGCTGTATTGTATGATTGTAATTTGTAGTATACTCAGTCCTGGCTATTATTTCCTCCAGTTTTCTATAACGGAGTAGTTGGAATTTGTCTTCATTGAACATCATATTGTTCTCTGTTGCCCATTGGAAAACTTGGTTTACATTTTCTTGGAGCTTTGCCGTGTGCTCAATGGATGACACTCGTGCAGATCCTAGTATCGTCTGCTAAAAATAATACAGTGCTGTGGTTTACATCTCTGTCTGTCTGATATGAGAATAAGGAACAGGAGAGGTGCGAGTACTGTGCCTTGTGGGACAGAGCTCTTCACTATGGCAGCATCTGATTTAACTCTGTCTACCACTACTCTTTGTGTGCGATTGATTAGAAAGTTGAAGATCCATCTGCCTACTTTGCCAATTATACCTTTAGCACGCATTTTGTGTGCTATTACACCATGGTCGCACTTGTCAAAGGCTTTTGCAAAGTCTGTGTATACTACATCTGCATTCTGTTTGTTTTCCAGTGCATCTAGGACCATATCATTGTGGTCTAGCAGTTGCGAGAGGCAGGAGCGACCTGCTCTGAAACCATGTTGCCCTGGGTTGTGCAATTTTTGGGAGTCCAGGTGGTTTGCTATCCTGCTTCTTTGAACTCTTTCAAAGATTTTTATGATGTGTGACGTTAAAGCTATTGGTCTCTAGTAGTTCTTAGCTACTGCTTTGCTGCCACCTTTATGGAGTGGGGCTGTATCTGTTGTTTTTAGTGGCTGTGGAATCTCGCCCGTGTCTAAGCTCCTTCTCCATAGCATACTTAGGGCCCATGAGAGGGGTTTCTTGCAGTTTTTAATGAACACCGAGTTCCACGAGTCTGGGCCTGGGGCCGAGTGCATTGGCATGTCGTCGATGCTTTCTCAAAGTCTAGTGGAGTTAGGGTTGTCATAAATCTGGCCTACATTGGCAGGGTTTTGAGGCTCATGAAAAAATTGTTTGGATTGTCGATCTCTAAATTGGTTAGTGGCTCGCTGAACACTGAGTCATGTTGCGATTTCAGTATCTCGCTCATTTCTTTGTTGTCGTCAGTGTAGGATCCGTCTTGTCTGAACAGGGGCCCTATACTAGAAGTGGTTTTTGACTTGTTTTTGGCACATGAAAAGAAATATTTCGAATTTCTTTCAATTTCATTAATCCCTTTTAGCTCCTCTTGTCTCTCCTGGATCCTGTATGAGTCCTTTAACTTTAGCTCAATATTTTCCACTTCCCTGGTTAGCATTTCCTTCCGTGTATCAGATAATCTGGCATTCTAGAGGAGCTCAATGATTCTTCGTCTTCTCGTGTAGAGGGAGCGTCTCTCTCTCTCCAGTTTACTTCTTTTCTTTTGTCTTATAGGAATATACCTTGAACATACTTCAGCTACCAGGAGGGTGATCTTTTCGAGGCATTGGTTAGGGTCCATGTAATTTAAGATATCCTCCCAGCATGTTTCATTTAGGGCAACATTACCTGATCCCAGATGATGTTCTTGTTGTTGAAGTTGAATCTGGTAAAGGTACCCTCATAGCTGTATGCATCTTGCCGATCAGGACTTCTGTGCATGCAAGTCTGGACTTCAATTAGATTGTGATCAGAATTTGTTGTTTCCGATATTGTTATATTCCTTACCAGGTCCTCATTATTTGTGAAAATAAGGTCCAGTGTGTTCTCCAGTCTTGTTGGCTCCACTATCTGCTGACTTAGGGGGCCGTGAGAGCATTAAATGTTGCTTTTTTGTTTACCGTCCGATTTCCTCCAGGTTTGGTGCACAAGACAAAGTGTTTTCACTCTTTCTTGAAAATATTTATCAAAAATATACCTCAAACAACAACTGAGAAAAGACTGAAAAAGGACTGATTTTCTGAAAATGCCCTTTGGCAGGATGGTAGTCCTATATGGTACGACGTAAGGTTGTTTGGACACTTGGTGCCGAGAGAACAATGCTTATACGAATTTGTAATTAGTACCTTTCCTCTAAATAACTTATCTTTATTTCACAAAAAAATAAAGTTTGTTAGTTCTTGGAATGTTGCAAAAAAATCTGCCCTTTACTCCCACATAACTCCGAAAATATTTGGAATATTTCCAAAAATGAATAATTGCAAATTAGAGAAATCATTATTCTACAATTTCTGTGAATATTATTACATTTAATTAAGTAATAAAGGCAGACGATGTACCGTAAAGTGAATAAGTTTCTTACGAGATATTGGCCTGGAGCGCCGGCCGGCCCACCGTATCAAAAAAAAATGTTTTTTTCGCGAAAATCGCGTTTGTTTGGGTGTATTTCTTAATAAACTGATGTTCTAGTGCAGTTAACTTCTTCGAAACACCAAAGAATACGACATGGAGACGACATGAGAGTAGTAACTCATATCGAAATATTCCCCATGGTCTCTCGCCATATTATGGCTTATTTTATTCAGTCTAGAGTATATAACATGTTTGTATGTTGTTTATAGTGTTTATTATATCATATTAGATCAATTCTGATAGATAAATAAGCCTTAGAGTTTATATATAAGCTGATATAAGCGTAATAATGAAGTAATTTCTCCTGGCTGTCTCTGGAGCGGGAATACTGCCGAGCGTTCCCAGATGGTTCCTGGTTGGCTCTAAGTCTACGGATAAGCTCCGCCTACTGTTTTATGATGCCAAATAGTCAGTTATTATATTATTTATTTATTTATTTATTTATAATTTGAGCACACATATAGAGGTACAAAAAAATACAGATAAGAGCAGCATGCCAAAGCCACTTATACTATGCATAGAAGAATGCCAGAAAAAGCGATAAAAAACAAGGAAAAAAATCCAAAAAATATATGGGCTGTGAGCAGACTCGCTACCCACATCGCCGTCACCATACTTGATATAAAAGACTATAATTTCTTGTAGAAACGTCGTAGAACATTCATTCTGGTACCATTGTGTTGCCAAAGAGTTAAGCTATTTTTCGGTATAAATAACTCAATTTCCATAATTTTTCGATTTTTTTTGAGAGCGCGGAAAATTCCCATACAGCCCCCTTAGGGTGTGTTTGTTGCAGAAATTCAGCAGCTTCTGTGTGTGTGACTTCATCTGAGCTACCTCCAGGGATTATTTCTGCTACAACATTATTTGCTATATTCTTCCATTTTGTGTGTCTTAAATTGAAGTCACCAAGCAGCAAGATGGATGGGGCTGGAAAGTTATCCAGACAGGAGTCAATCTTTGACAGTTGTTCTTTGAACTGTTGGGAAGTTGCATCCGGTGGCTTATATACAAGTACAATGACTAAGTTTTGGTTCTCGATTTTTATTGTCAGAACTTCAACTACATCATTTGTGGTGTTCAGTATCTCTGTGCAAATGAGAGACTCTTTGACATACAGGCCAACCCTCCCTTGTTGCCTGTTCTTTCTGTCGCATCTGAAAAGGTTGTATCCAGGTATCCATATTTCACTGTCAAAGTAATCTTTTGCGTGGGTCTCTGTAGAAGTCCACTAATGAAAGGTATTTGTTGTTGGTGGATGGCTTAAGGCACTGTATATTAGCCCTGTATATACGAGGTTGTGTTGCATGTTTATTGGGGGGGATTTTGTTGTTGGCATCAGTAGCTGTGAGCCCGGAGGGGCCACTGTTGTGCCACAGTCCAACAAGGCTCCAAGGTGGTGGACTATTTTGGCTGTATAATCCTACGGGTTTAGCGCTCCCCATGATAATAATAATAATAATGAGTTTAGTGTTCTATGTATGTAGTAGGCGCAAGAGTAAGTATGGATGTTCTTTCCGGCGAGTAGTTGTAGACTTTTGAATATTGGTGGAGTATGCTGTCTGTAGTGAAAATTTGTTATCATTCTGACTGCAGCCTTTTGCTGGGTTATTAGTGGTCTTAGGTGATTTAATGTTGTTTATCCCCATGCACAAATTCCATGGGTGAGATAAGGGTAGATAAGTGAATGATACAGTGCAAGGAGAGCTGACTGTGGAACATAGTACCGTATCTTTGATAGTATTCCTACTGTCTTAGAGATTTTCTTGGCGTGTGAAGCGAGAGCTTTAGCCACCAGGTTATTATAATCTTATTATTATAATCATAGAAGAGAAGAGTGAGTTTGAATTTAGCGGGCGAGTAATTGTAGTTGGTGTGGCGTGGTGCAGATGGCAGGGAGGTGCTGCTCACCCAGCCACCGCTACTCAACACAACAACAACAACAGTGTGTTTCTGCTGCTCTTACCCGGCACATTATTGTGCTTGCTTATCTGTTACTGCAGGGGGGGTCGAATCTCCGCTCCTGGAGCAGCTGGCGTGGTATGGAAGTGGTGGTGTGGCTTGGAGGTGTGTGAGGAGACTACCAGTGGTGGAGGGACGCTGCTCGTCCCCCCGCCAGTCTTGTCCAGGTGTGGGACGCTGCTCTCACACCACCTCACTTTACTCTGCGAACACTTTACCCCCTGGAATTTGGCACAGTTTTGGCAGTATCTCGACTAGGGAGAGGAGGAAGTGGTGTTCAATACGGCTGAGGTTGCAGTAGCCCTCACACAACACTGCTCTCAGTACTTCATAGTGTTGTCTTGGCCTCGGTTATATATTAACATTCACCACTGGATGACACCAGGTAAGTTAATTCCCTGCCTCGGTATCTCTAGCATAAGTTGGCTCTTCTGAGGTGTCTCGGTGTATATACATTGAAAGTTTATTTTGATATATTTTAGGTATTAAGGACGACCTGCAGTCTTGGTAATACTTATGCAGATTTTAAACACAATCAAAAAGTGTTTGTGTTGGCAGTGTGTAACTGCTGGTATCAAGCTCAGTTAACTTCATGGTAATGATAAGACACTTAGGAATCTTTATTCTCTAAACATTTTGCCAGTCAGTGGCTTATTCAGTCCAATGCAGAGAAACTGTAGAAGCTGAGGAGTTTGAGGTAATCAGTCCCCTCAGCTTGGAGTCGATGTGTTCATTTCATCAATCTTGATAAAAGCACAGCATATTCAAGGAGATGGAGCTTATATACTGCTGACAGTTGAGGTGGAACAATGGTAGGCAGAGTCACCAGTGGAAAAACCCTACTTGTGGAAGTAGGTCAGTTAGGTTAGGCAAGCTTTGAAGAATTCCCAGCATCAAGATCCCTTAAGATTAACTTGATGGTATCTGACGAAGTTAGCTGAGGTTTTAAATACGGATGCCGGGGAAGGTTTGGTGGCTTGTTAATGTATAACCTAAAATTATCCGGCTACACAATATTTTCTTAACAGAATAGTAAAGCAATGTAAAGAATTACTTGATGTAAAAAAATTTTCAACTAGTGAAAATTTTAAAGCATTATATGAACAAATTATTGAAAACGAGACACCAAGAGCGTAGCTTTTCTCCCATAGCTACAAATAGGTAATAATGAGGGGCTTTCTATGTAGTACATGATTGATGTCAGCTAGTTCTGTATATGTTGCACATGTAGAAATAAAGATGAAAAAGGTAAAGTTGGTCTGTGTTATATTAGTGCTTGCTGATAATTTAAATTTATGTATGGGGGAATCCTTGGCCAGTAGGAATGAGACTACTACTTAGTCATTAGTGATTATTTGTGAATGTTGATGGGATCACTGGCATTTAGCTTAATGAGTTTTATTTATTAAATATTACTATGTAGCTTTAAAGAAACTAGTAATTTGCAGTATTTTGGGGCAATAATAAGGTTAAATTAACAGTTATTTTTAGTTATTTTATATTGCATTTCAAGACATTAACATAAGCATGCACTCTTGACAAAGTGTTCCATGGCCTGGTAGTCAACACACTCACCTCACACACCGAGTGTCTGTGGTTTGATTCCTGACAGGTGGGAAACATTGGGCTTGTTTCCTTACACCTGTTGTACCTGTTCACCTAGCAAGTAAGTAGGTACCTGGGTGTTAGTTGACCGGTGTGGGTCACATTCTGGGGGACAAGATTTAAGGACCCCAGTGTATATAAGACACTCAGTCCTCGATGAAGCACTGACTTTGTTTTCCTGGGTGGCTAACCCTCTGGGGTTAAAAATCTGAACAAAATCTTATCTTAACCCATTGGCTTTGCTAGGGTTGGTGTCACCTGGGGCAGCATTGTTGGTGTCACCCCCATGAAATCCAAGGGCAGGGGGATGGGGGTGAGTAAACTCCAGTTATGTCACTACTGCATGCCCAATGACTAATGTTTATCAACGAGAACTTTAAGGGTCATAAACCAAACAGGAGAATACTTCTCAACTTTATTAATGATAAATAATTGTAGTAATATTGAGGAAACAAACTCAAATACCACTTTGAGTACAGGCAACAGGTCCTGCATTTATTCATCTTCAACAATGCCAAAAAAAAAAGAAACTTGAAAAATAAAGAAAAACATTGCAATATCAGAGAAACACTAGTTCCGATCTGACCTTGAATACAGGTAACATCTATCACATCATCAAAATAAATTATTTTCCCTATGTATAGGCCTGTTTGTACTCGGTAATCATATACTGTAATATGCTATATAGAAACAGAATTTTTCTCTTATGTTGCCGCAGCACTGTTTTAGGAATTAGTGTCGCCTTCTTTAGTAGCTCTGTGGTGTCACCCCTTGATGGTGTCGCCCAGGGCAGTTCCCCCCTCCCCCACCCTCCTTATGATGCCACTGTCTTAACCTTAGATTATTTGAGAATGAAGTTAGAGAGTAACTTGCAGTTGGAGTTGTAGTATGGGAATAGTGACTTGTATTAACCCTTAAACTGTCCAAACGTAGATATACGTTTTTTCAACATTTGAAAGTATGTAAAAAAACGTAGAGCTTCTTTTTCTTTTTTTACATTTGAAAATGTGTAAAAAACTTTGATTTACATTTTTTTGTTATATTTGAAAATATGTTAAAAAACGTAGATCTACTTTTGGAGCACTGCGCATGTGAACATAGATCTGTCTGGACAGTTTAAGGGTTAATATTATGATGCTTCTCCATGGCTAGGCACTATAATGTGTATTACTGTTACAGTGCTGTACCATGAGCAGATACTGTTTAATGGTGAACTTCTTCAGCTTAAAATTTGATTCACTGTTTGTTCTTTTATTAGTATTCTTGTGATCTTCAAGATGTGTGCCTCATAGCTCATTGGTAGCACATTTGGCTCATAATTGAAAACACCTAAGGATGAACTCTGGCCTAAGTGGGACATAAGAGTGACATAAGGATAGAGGAGATAAGATTTGTTTGGATTTTTAACCCCGGAGGGTTAACCACCAGGATGGCTCAAGAAAGTCAGTGCATCATTGAGGAACTATCTGTTTTAGTTCCATTGGGGTCTTCAATCTTGTCCCCCAAGATGTGACCCACACTAGTCTACTAACACCCAGATATCTAATTGCTAGGTGAACAGGGATAGTAGGTGTAAGGAAACATGTCCAGTGTTTCTACCATTGCTGGGGATTGAACCACGGACACTCAGTGTGTGAGATGAGAGCATTGCCTACCAGGCCACAGGAGCACAACGGTAGTTCTGCTGATGCTTACTAGACAGGTCCTGCTCGCATCCAGTAACCTGTTTGTGTATCTATCCTACCTGTTTTTCATGTTATCTAAATTATTCAAACTTCAGTGATGCTACATGGTGGTTTGTTTCATTCATCAACAACTCTCTTGCTAATCCAGTGCTTTTTCTATATCCTTTTTAAATCTAAATTTATCCAAGTTTAATCCATTGCTGCAAGTTCTGCCTTTGTTAGATATTATCAGTACTAATTGAAGCCTTGCCAGTGATATATGAAGTTGAGGTATAACCTTGGGAATTTTACTGCTTATACTTATTATTATTAAGCATAAATTTTTATTAGCTGTATTACAAACATACAGGATCTATTATGGCTTTAGATATACTAACCAAAACTTTTAAGCCTTTTTATTAGTTTGATATGGAAAAAATAATTCATTTAAAGTGCTAAATCCATGTGAGTCATTCAGTGCAAGACATAACAGAGGCTTGATCCTCTGTCTGCTGAGTATGATATACACACACTTCTTATTTGTACATTTTTTAGTGTTACACAGTGCTTGTTTTTGGTCAGTGTTGACAAAATTCCTGGGACAGAACCCTGTCAGCATTAAACACTTGCAACAGTATAACTACAGGTATATCAATTACATAGGAAACACTCATCTGCTATGGAAATTATGTATATTGATGTATCAGCCATAATAACAATAATAATAATTATTATAATTAAATGATGTACTGTACAGCGACTCAGTGGTAGTGGGTGTCTAGGTCACCAGTTGCAGCCGCAGCCACAGTCCAAGCCCCTCGCACACAAAACCTCCTTTACCCTCTCCCTCCAACCTTTCCTAGGCTGACCTCTACCCTGCCTTCCCTCTACTACAGATTTATACACACTCAAAGTCATTATATTTTGTTCCATCCTCTCTAAATGACTGGACCACCTCAACAACCCCCCCTCTTTGCTTCCATGGACAAATTTCTTTGTCTCCACAGACTCCACAATGCACCACTCATCTTTTTCCCCTCGTCAGTTGTGTGATTCACCTCATCTTTCATAGACCCATCTGCTGACATGTCCACTCCTAAGTATCTGAATGCATTCACCTCCTCCACACTCTCTCCCTCCAATCTGATGTCCAGTCTTTTGTTACCTAATTTTTGTTGTCCTCATCACCTTACTCTTTCCTTTATTCACTTTTAATTTTCTTTTATATACCCTACCAAACTCATCTACCAAACTCTGCAACTTCTCAACAAGCTTATTCCCCTATAATTTCTGCACTCTTTTGTCCCCTTTGCCTTTATACAAGGAACTATGCATGCTCTCTGCCAATCCCTAGGTTCCTTACCCGCTTCCATACATTTATTAAATAAAAGCACCAACCACTCCAAAACTATATCCCCACCTGCTTTTACCCCCATTCATTCTACCCACTGTCTCACGAACTTCCCCCACACTCACAACTAGCTCTTCCTCACTCCTACAAGATGTTATTCCTCCTTGCCCTTTACACGAAATCACAGCTTCCCTATCTTCATCAACATTTAACAATTCCTCAAAATATCCCCTCCATCTTCCCAATACCTCTAACTCTCCATTTAATAACTCTCCTCCCATATTTTTAACTATCAAATCCATTTGTTCCATGGGCTTCCTCAACTTAATAATCTCACTCCAAAACTTTTTCTTTTCAACAAAATTGTTGATAATGTCTCACCCACTCTTGTCATTTGCTCTCTTTTTACATTGCTTCACCACTCTCTAACCCTCTTTCTCTCCATATACCCTCCCTCCTTGCATCACTTCTACTTTGTAAAAACCTCTCATATGCTAACTTTTTCTCTCTTACACTCTACATCATTCCACCAATCGCTCTTCTTCCCTCCCGCACCCACTTTCCTGTAACCACTAACTTCTGCTGAACACACTAACACTACATTCTTAAACCTACCTCATACATCTTCAACCCCATTGCCTATACCTTCACTAGCCCATCTATCCTCCAATAGTTGTTTATATCTTACCCTAACTGCCTCCTCCTGTAGCTTATAAACCTTCATCTCTCTCTTACTTGTATCCCATCTGCCTTTTACTCTAACTG